GGTGAGCAAGTGATGTAATGCTAAATTTCTCCAAATCTGTTACCACGAAGAAACAAACTTACCTACATCTTGGATGGTCTGAGGGTGAGTAAAGTTTCATTTTTGGGTAAACTATTTGTTTGGTTATGGATTGCAAGTGCCCAAAACTTGCAGTTTGTTCTCATATCTTTGATTCAATTCTTTTGAGGGGTGATCTAAATATTTGACAGGCCTGTGCTGCAGTTCTACAGATGTTTTACCTCTTGGTCTCTGTGTCATGTGACTGAAAACTATGAATTGACTTGATTTGCTCTACAGGTTTTGTAGTACAAGTAAAAGACTGCCACTCCTTCTAATATGTACCGAGTTACCTTATATAAGCCATAAGTGCTCTCAGGATCAGAGAAAGGAACGAGTCTCTCATCGCAGAACCCAATGAGCCATCTGCTGCAGTCCAGGTTTGGGACAGCAGGCAGCTCCTTACTCAGGATGGACACCAAACTCCCTCCTGAAAGGCCCAGAGAGAAGCTTGCACCTGTGCGGAGAGCTTTCTCTGCTCGAGAGGACACCAGCTGGGCCAGAGTGGCTCCAAGCTCGGCCACTGAAGGGAAAACCACCACTCTTCGTCCAGACATAATTCTCTGAAATAAAGAGAGGCAATGATTATGCCAGTCAGGTCAGATATGAAGCAATGCATAAGTCAACTGACTCTGCACAACTCATGCGTCCAACTTCCCATGACCAGAAAAAAGAAACAATAAGTTAACTGCCGTCTGCAATTCAGGAGCTGTGAACAACGTGTACTGTTTAATTTGATTGGGCAGTGCAGGTTTGATAAAGTCGAATGAATTAAGGAAGCAAGTTATTGCACCGAAATGTGAGAGCAGTAGAATAAGTGCACTAAGAGCCTACCGACAAACTCGGATAATAATAACACGACAAAATTATGATTTTATCGTGCTTTTATACTTCCACGCTGGCTTATGGAAGCTGTAAACACTAAGAAATTACATTTAACTCACCAAGGAATGTTTTCTTAATAGTGAGATTTCCTTTACGTGCCCCTCACACGATCTGACCAACATCCAATCGCAGCGAACTTTGCCTACTGTTGCATTCTGGGTAATGTAGTGCTGACGAGTCAAGCTCCGTTTCTAAATAATCAGTTGATTTGACGGCCTTGGAGTCTCAAATCCCATCATTATATTATATAATATAATAATATAAATTGTTTACCATATTTATGACCATATTTATTAGCATTATCACAGTATGTAAGGAACAGATCAATTGCAATTTATCTGTGACAATTTAAGACTAATTTAAGAGCCTAACAAATTTCTCTATGTATGCAAAAATACATTATATCAGCAGTAAATAATCGAAAATTATATTTACAACATTTTATTTTCCCTCTGGCTTACACTCAAACTGCTCCATTTGAATAGATGGCGCTAGTGCCCCATATTTAGATAAATCATTTACACTGAGCTAAACCAGGAGAGCGAACCTTCTGTGTGTAAGATGAAAACTGTGGAAACCGTTTATGTGGCATTATCACGTTAAAACATACGACTAGCTGAAGTATATGAATAGCAGTCGAATCTGTATATATCTGTAAAAAAAAAAA